AACCTCAAGGGACCATGGGAGGATTCCCAGAGGATGCAATTTATAACCTGATTTCTAAAATATTATTAGGTATTAATGGAGTCATGTTGAAAAGGGGAGGACTTCAGTGAAGAGCTCTCAAGGTGAATTAAAAACTTTATTGCCAGTTATGTTGCTTTCATTTGTCCTTGCTCTATACCTGAACCTAACACACTATTGTAAATCACCTACACTTCAATTAAAAAAAAAACTTTATTGCATTGCCATATTGGAATTAATGTCAAATTGTGCCTATGGAGAGACACTTCCCCATGGGGCTTACACATTTCTGTACATCTTGTGAGCAGACACATTGATGGCTATTTTTCTAGACTGTCTTTTCAAGGATGTATGTACAGTGAACAGCTTTGCAAGATGGAGGTAGTGTCTTCTTCTTGGAGCAAAGGACAGGTTTGTTTATTGTCTAGTACAGTAATATCTCCCTCTGGACAGAAGTCAGGCTGGCTTACTGCACATTATCAAAGATTCAAGGTCCCTGAGCTTAGGGTTCTCTTCTGTAGTGCAATCTGTTGCATGGGTAGGCATCACGTGGCCCCCTTCACATCCCTGTTTGGGAACCCAGGTTCAGAGAACTGGCTCAAATGCTGTTACTTTCATTACTGCCATTTCTGTGAGTAATAAAATTTCTAATAGAAGTCTTGTGTCTTATGTAAGCATCTATAAACTGGCAGGCAAACTTGTTAGCTAGCAAGTAGGTTAAATTTCAGGCCAATAAATCTCACAATCTCAGACTCTTTAAAATAATTAGAAAATAATTTCTCTCTATTTTCCTCCTCATAGATGGAAAAAAGAAAAAAGATTCTGTAGCTCTATTGGTAAGCAAGTGGTTGCTAATTCAATACATGACTATTGTGGCTAGAACACAATGATCTATTTAGGTAAACAAATGTTATTAGTCAGATGAAAAACTCCTGTGTATTCGAAGCTTAATAAACATTATTTGTTATAGTATTTTTTTCACAGAATAAAGTGCTTTTGAAAAAAGTGATGGAAACTATCATGAAATAAATGGAGATTATTATTGTCATAGTAACATATTTCTGCTCTGATACTTTTAAAATAAATTTTCAGAAATACTGTTTATAAAAATACATAAGTGAGAATTATCATGGAAAATATGGCTTAACAGCATCATCCATTTACTCACATTTACTATTTACCTGTTGTGTACCAAGCACACAGTTTTAGATGTGAGGGATACAGAAATGACTAACAGACAAAATTCTTGCTATCATGGAGGGAGAAAGGTAGACAGATAAGTAAGTAGACAGATCAGATCGTTGTATAATATATCCAGCAGTAATTAATGCTGAGTAAAAAAACACATTTAATATATAGAGAATGCCAGCAAGAATGTAATACTTTTTTTAACAGAATGGTCAGAGATGGCCTCTATGCTAAGGTAACATTTGAGTGGAGAACTTAAGAGTGGAAGGGAGCAGATCCTGCAGGATTCTGAGGAAGAAGGTTCTAGGCTGAGGCAAGAGCAAATGTAAAATCCTGAGACAGGAGCTTGCTTAGTGTACTTGAGAAGCAACAAGAAGGCCAGTAAAACTGTTAGGTAGTTAGATAAGTGGGGGCACCAGGCAGACAGGCGGAAGAGGGGAAGGATGGTCCGGAAGACGGTGTTATGCCCGCCTCCAGCATAAAAGGGACTTTACTTCTTCTAAATGAGTGCCAGCAAGAAACTGGTTAGTACCCAACAGCCACGACTTTGCGGTAGCAGAAAGGACCTAACCAGACATGTCCCAACGTTCATTGTATTATAATTAACATTGTGGTTTAGGCTCCGCCTACCTCCCCATGGGTTTTTCTGTGTAAACCATGGGTAAGGACATGTGCAAATAGGCCAAACATGACTAAGCATTCCAGGGACAAAAGCTGTCAATCAATCAAAAGACCACCTCTAAGCCAGGGTATAAGAGAAAGGGGAATAAAAAAGAGAGAAAGGGGAGACAAAAACCTTCCTTGGATCAGCCCACCTCCTGTTCTTGGAGGTGCACTTTTCCTTTTTTTTAAATAAATCTTTTAAAATCTTTCACTACACAATGCACCGTCTCCGGACTGTAAACGTGTCTTTCAGGTATGATAAGAACCAAGGTCTTTACCTTTTAGGGTAACAAAACTGCGGGGCAAAGAATAGAGAGTTGCAAGAGAATGCGGTCAGAGAGGAGGAGAATCTGAAGTCGTGGAAAGCCTCGGGACTGTGGATTTCACCTTGAGTTAAAATCTTGACTCTGCCATTTACCAGCTACATGGCCCTGAAAAAAATTCATCAGAGACACCCTAGACTAGTGAGTAGATCAGGCAGAGAGAAAATAAAAATACTTCAGTTCTGCCCACAGGTGTAGTTTGCCAAATCACTGTACATTATAATTAACTTGAGGAGAAGGGCTTTCCCATATCTGGAAAACATGGATCAAACCCGGTAATACTCCAGACAAAAACCCTAAAAATTATAACCATATTCACCCATTCATTCAGTAACCAATTCTTCTGTTAAATTTTTATGAAGCCATCAGGTTTTCCACTAGGATTCTTTAATTTCTGACTCAGTTCAGTGATATGATCTGAAATTTATCAGAGACCTGTACTTGTCAAAAGGTCTTTCTTATGACTCTTACTGAAGATGAAATAATGCATCTGATGCAAAAGCATCAGATTATAACAATAGCTGTCTATAAATGACAAAAGACTTTAAAAGGCATGGTTAAACACCTAATTACAATGCAATTGATAAAGAAACTTGGTTATGTGAACGAAAAATACTGCAAACCATATCAGTAAAACAAAGAATGCTGAAACCATCAAGTCATCAGCGGCTGCCCCCACCCGCCCAGTGAAGACAAGCGTGCAGCCTAGCCTCTGCAGCCACTCACAATGGTGCACTCTGAGGGACTCAGAATAAAAAAGGACAGGCTACTGGCCCTATTTAGCCAGGTGTTTGTCAAATGAATGAATTCAGTGAGCCCAAATGTTTGCTTCCTCCCATATATAGAAAAGCGCTAAATTCTTTAACTTGAGATGCCTAGTTTTCTTTAGTTAACAAGTAATCTTTTAATATTCCCACTACCTGGTCTTTGTGTTAAAGCTCCTATATATCCTAGCTCCTCCCCTACCTCTTCAGAGCAGTCCCTCAGAGTGATCTGAGAGGCTGTCATCTGGGGCTCGAAGGGGTTCGAGTCCTCAGAAATGTCCGCCAAATAAAACTTAACTCTCAACTTTTAGGCTGTGCGTTTATTTCAGTCTACAGTTTCAATAACTAGAACTATGACTATAATCTTAACCCTTAAGAACCTTAATATCTGGCAAAAAACAAGAAACAAGGAATTGTGAACTGTTTATTATACCAGCATTTCCTGACTGGAAAACTTACGCTTTAGTCTTCCTCTCCGAAGCAGTTGAAGGTAGGTAAATTTAGACCACCTCAGCAATTAATATTCCAATATTTTATTTTATTTGAAATGACCCAGATAGTCAATGAATTCTTTTCATTTAATTTGGTTTAGTTTTAAGTTACCAAAATCTGGAGAGATCATTTTACATTATACATAGACATTCCCAAAACATAATTATTCCTATAGAGTTTACCTAAAAGCTTTTATTTACATTTACTTAAAATTTCATTATATCAAGTCATTTTCCTTCCTGACCATTTTCAACAGATACAACAAGGTCGTATTTGCCCTTAGTAAACTGAGGTACAATGGAAGTATTATACTTAACACCGATGATTCTAAAGAGCTCATCCACACACCAATGTCGGCAAGCACACGGTATCACATATATCCATGTAGACACAGAGATCTCACAGTTTTCCTCCAAGAGTTTAAAAAGATCTTTTTCCCCCCTTTATTCTCAGGGATTAGATTAAAATTCCTGAGATTCCCAGGCAGATCGTTTACATCTCAAAGGCACAGGAGGAGAAATACCAATTCCTTCTAGAAAGCTAACTTCCTTCAACAGCAAATGCAAAATGTCAGAAGTCCCATCTTGGGCATCTTCAGGGATTTTTTTTCAGTTTCTAAGTAGCCAACTCAGTTTCAACAAATAACAGTAATAGACTCATTTACTCACATTCACATGCCTCACTTTGAGAGGAACATGAATCAGCATTCAAGGTACTAGGGCCCCCTACTGAGGCTCAAAACCAGGGAGAGGGAACAGAATTTGCCCTTGAGGCACTCTTGCACACACCCAAACTAGTTACAAAAAGCTCACTTTGATGTAATAGCAAAGCCATTAGGGGCATTATTCTCCAGATCTCAAGGCGTGCTAAGGCCAAATAGTGTTACAATAAAAACATTATTTTCTTTCACTTAAGGAAGCACAGCTGAAGCGCTCCCAGTTTTGCAAAATGTACCCTAGGGGAACTACAAGATGGAAAAGACCTCTGATCACCCCAGCACCATTATCTCTTCTGTTTCTCCTAAGTCTGTTATGCACCACCCAAGCAACTGGATGCCCTACTGAGGGACTCAGGATGGAAACTGAAGCCTCATACCATCATCCAGGAGTGGGCTGTAGTATCACGTCCTTTGTTCCTGCTGTCAGTACCTCATTGTCTGGGCCCTGATAGTGCTGGGCATATGCAGCATCTTTCATGCCTAGTTCTCTTAACACGTCTTGTAGTTCTCCCACGGTTTGCCAGTGGAGAGGAGGAATAGGTACATCTCCTTCACTGGGCCTGGCAGTGTGGCAGGCGGCCACTACCCAAGAGAGGAGGGAGATCATTCATTGATGGCCAGGTGTAAGCACTGCTGGAGGGCCCAGTGGCTAGTCACAGAGGCCATCTTTAACAGTTCCTGGCCAGTTAACAGAATGTCTTCCCCACTGCTGGGATACCAAAACTTTGCCTAGCTGTTAGCTCAACATCTGTGGCTTTTCTTAACATAGAAAGCAGTAGACAGCCCAGAGCCACAGCTATCAACTTACGATCTAACTTCTTTTTTCCCATTCAGCTTGAAGACCAAAGAAAGTGCTGAGAGTCAGCGACAGAGACATGGATGGTTTATGGATAGGGGAATCTTACCTGTATGTTTGAAGCAAGGTCCTGGAGCGATACCCCATCGTGTCCGGTGGACGGCGGGCATGATGAGTAGGCAGCCTTAGCTCCTGAGGGGAGGGGAGGGGAGATTACTTGTCATTGGGAGAACTGATGTCAGGTTTGCTCATTGGTTACCAGGGAAACTGGCAGAGGGGCCCACCCCTCACTGCCCCTTTGATAAGAATGGAGATGTTCTAATGTAAAGCTAGAAAAATCATTAGCTGGGCCTGGGGCAAGTACATAGGAAGGGCAGTCAGGTAAGTAAGATGTAGGTGAGGCAGGCACTGGTTGAGCAGGGGATGTACAGAAAGCAAGAGAACAGCCATCTTGAGTGGCCTGACCACACAGTAGTATAAGTGACTTTGTTTTAGGTGGGTATTTAAAGATGACAAACTAATTCGGTTTAAATAAAGTTAGTGATGTAACAGTTTAGGGTTAGTGGACATAGAGAAAGAAGGGTCATAAAGCAAAGTCTAGATAAATAAACTATGGTTGATAAGCAAGCTGCTTTCTCAGGGGAGCTATCTATAGACTCCAATAAATTGATCTGTGGGAGTTTCCAGAAGCAAACAGTGAAGTTATTTATTGGTTCACAGATTTACTTTTTTCTCAGCAAAATGTCTTGGAACTAACAACTAAGTCAGGCTGACATAGGTGATCTAGTCTCTTCTAAGTCATAGTGACAGGGATGGCCTCAATTCTCTGTTCCCACTTGTTGTCATTCTTCAGCTCAGGCTAGAGGATAGCTGGTTATTGTCTGGGGAAATGATCAGTCCACCTATATCACCTCCTGGAAAGTCATGACTGCACAGCAAGTTGCTGGTGGCAGTCATTTCAACTATTATACATATCACATTCTCTTGCTCTTTTTGCGAGATGATCATCTTGGGGGATCCTGTGACAGGGCAGTGACTATACAGCAGCATTTAAGATGCTAGAGATCACACGTTTGAACTGTGCCATCAGACAAATACTAGGAGAATAATTATAATCAGAGTTTGTAGAATTCTAAGTCCAAGAGTGCATAAATTAAACACAGAGAACAGATCCCACCTTCATTCTGAAGGTCCTACAGAACCAGATATGGTGGTATTAGCCAAGTCAATTAATTTCATAATTTCTTTATTGGTTTTTCAGATCTTCTTAGTAATTTTAAAGTTCTCATAAAAGTCTGTAAAGTTGAAGGTACAACAGTGTTTTTCCCCCTCAACTGGCGTATCGACAACCTCAGGAAGCCAATACTCTTCCTAGGGCTGCTCTGTTTTAAATCATCATATTTCCAGTCTCATGAACTTCTTCTCGAGATTGTCTAGCTCCTCTGTCAATCACTGAACCACAGCAGGAAGCAGCTTCCTCACATTCTGTGTCTCCTTTAAAGCATGATATGAAAAGTCTTGAGGACAAAAGAAAGCTATCTAGAATTTCCACTGAGTGATTAAGGTTTTGAACCTCAAACTGAAGCTCAGTCTCTCTCCTCCTTGTACAGGTTATAAAGTGAGCTCTTTTTCAAAGGAAAAATAGGGGGCCAAAATGGACCCTGTATGATATCATCCTGAAGACAGACATCATTTTACTGAGACCACTAGACCCTGTCCAGGTTGTTGATAGTATCCAATAGGTTAGTTTTATTAATATTATTTTGCCATAAATTCAATATCAGACTTTAGGGTCTTTCCAATGATGTTGTCTTGGCTAAAATACCTCTATAAGGTATCTCAGTTCTATTGCATGGTTTCAGCCCCATTCAGAAATAATTAGGTGCTAGGCAGGAGATTATAAAGTGGAGACATGATTAAATAGGTAAATGGTTAGATCTGATAGGGAATCAGATTCTTTAGGTACATATTAATTCTTTTTTTTGAGGTCTGTAAATGTGACACAGGTACAGGTAAAGTAAAAGCCATCTATTTTCTGTTTTCTTTCTGAGCCTTAACTCTGTGAAAGTTTGGTTATGGAGTCTATTTATTACATCTAGATCTTGGCTGTTGTTTCAAGGGAAGCAGAAGCCTTCCTTTATGGATATTTTACATTTTTGGTTAACTGGACTATTCTGTTATATACTAGATTGGACTAGAGTCCCATTACTGATGAGAACAAACGTGTTTTCAAAAAAGACTGATTTTTAAGGTAACTGGTTGGCATTCAGAGGTAAATATATGCAAACCCAACAGTCAGTATGATTTGTACATTTTGTTTGAATCATGAAAAGATTGCAACCAGGGACTCATACCAATGAATATATGAAGATTCAAAAAGCAATGTGGGATAAAAAAACAAGGTCCTACTGTATAGCACAGGGCACTATATTTCAAAACCATGTAATAGCCTATAATGAAAAAGAATATGAAAAGGAATGTGTGTGTATATATATGTGAATATGTGTGTGTGTGTATATATATATCTATATCTGAATTACTATGCTGTACACCAGATATTAACACAACTTTGTAAACCTACTGTACTTCAATAAAAAAGGAAAGAAATATGAAGTGAATCATTTGTAATATTTTTGTAAACACCCAAAACCTTGGTCCAGCAGCAGACAGAAGTCATTCAGGAAAATAAAGAACAGAAGCATGATGATTAAGCATGATAATGTGTAGCCCTGGTGAACCAGATCTTGTCCTGCAGGTTTTGGGTGCATATTGTTTTCATCCTGCAGTTGTCCTCTTGATATGAAGCTCTTGGTCTGGTGAAATCTCCTCCTGATGACTATCTGCTTCTGAAGTATTCTTAAGAATTCTTTATTTCAAATCTTTCAGTAGAATGGCTGTCCAGGTATTGAAGTATGAAGCTTTGCATCTCTTTAGCTGAGATCCGTGAGTCTAACGATCTACACCATAAATTTTAATTGCTGTGCTAGCAGTTAAAAGTACCTAATACAATTGTTTCCAAAGTTGTTTCATCTTATTTCTTTTTCAGAAGATAAAGTCTCTGGGTTCTACCCCGTAACATTTTAGAGGATGTGAAGGAAAGACAGCTTGTATATGTTGGTGATAAGACTAAATATACTGCATGACTTCTTTGAAGTAGTTTGCCATATGCTGATGTATGACTACAGTTAAGTTAGACTAGAACATCAGAGGAGAAATACTCACTCTTATATTGTGACATGCAGTGACTTTATATGGTGACAGCTGATGGGTCTCAGAAGGTGTGGATTTAATGGTTATGAGAACATTCGTAGTCAGTGAAGTCAAAGAGTAACAGCTAATTTTGCTCATTTGAATTTAAATATGCCATTGCATCTCTCTGCTTTATTAAGGACTGAGTGTAATCTGAGCAATAAAGTTTCAAATTACATGACAAGTCTTTCAGAGTTCTGTAATAACAGAAAATGAGTACCTTTATCACTGGAGAAATAGTTTGGAATCCCTCATGCTAGAAAAATAAAATTAAGTAACTTTTTGCAACTGTCAGAGCCATGGCTCTTTAGCAAGGCTCATGCTGAGAATAAGCAATGTTCTGGACATGTCGTAAACTCATCGCATAAGTGAAATCTATCTGGAAGTGGGACCAGGAGGCTTGGGTTTTTTATTGCCCATGTCTCATTCTTACACTGGTGACAGAATGATAGGCACTAGAGACATATTCAGAAATTTAGTAAAATTCTCTCACCTCCAAGTGTTGGCTCAGTACAAAGACTAATTTGTCTTTAATGTTGTGGGTTAATTTTGTGTAAAATGCTCGCAAGTTTCACTTGAAGTCCTCTGCAACCACCAAAGGATCATCTCAAAAGCACTAGAGATTATCCTCTTGTAATTTGCATCCAGATTTCTCTCAATAACCCTTTAGCCATTTGGCATATTTTACACACACACACACACACACACTATTTATTTTATTGTTTGGTGAGTTATTTTTTTGTTTTGGAATAAATCATTTCAGTAGCAATGTGCTAAAAAAATGCATGTATAATGAAAACTTATGTGTTGACTATCTCTCATTTAAAAAGTTCATGAGGAATATGTAAAGTATACAAAATGTTGTCAACATTTATTATCCATTATGGAGGCCATAATGATATATCTGACCAGAAACCAGAAAACCTAAATCTGCTAAAAAAGCATAAATCATTCTCTGCTTCAAAACTTAGATACTTGATGCTGTGGAAGGCACATTTATATTAAATGATCGTTCCTTTAAGTTAACTTTGCTCATTCTTAATTCCAGATTTTCTTTTTCATGGGCAAAAAATGATGTATTTTTGTGTTAATAAATTAGATCCATTAGCAGCAGCAGAATTTAGCAAATAGTTAAATTATGTCAGTTTCACAAAAAATATCATTAGATGCTTAAAATAGGAAATCAGTTAAATTTTACAATGGTTTGCTTTTAAACAAAACACTCATTTCATAGAATCAAAGTAAATCTTTTGGAAACTCATTCTGATAAAGGTGATATGTTTAACATTGTTAAATTGCTATTGTAAATTTAGTTTAAAAGCTAAGAACTAAATTTAAAATTTTTGGGGTGATAACGCAGCTAAAAGTTTTTGGGTAGAGTACAGTGTCTCTATAAGAAGACTGCTATTAACTAAATTAAGAAACCTACAAAGTGGAAACGTATTTGGGATTTGTTATGGTACATACAAATGTCAAAATTTATGAATTTATACACACACACACGAACTGAATAACCAAATGTCAATGTCTATGACAAAATTAATGTTGAGTAGAACTAAATACTTCAGCATGGCAATGAGTACTTTTCTCTGTTGCTCAGCATCATACAGAGTTTAAAAATGTTTGTGCCTTTGAAGAACTGTCCATAATTAAATGTAAGTATCTTACTATGGTATCAAAATTTTAAATAAGTGACTTCTCTAAATCTTGGTTGCTTTTCACTGAAAATCAATGAGAAACCTTTAAATACTCAACAATTGGAATGCCAGGCATCTCCATCTTTCGAAGCTTTTAGAGAATTGCAATTATTGCAAACAAAGCCTACAAGCAGAATGAGCTGGAAATTTATCCATAAAAAGCAAACGAATAAGAGAACAAGTTAAATGATGAGGGCTCAAACAGCGTATAAAATTTAGTTTGAAATTCTAAAATTGCATTTGCAATAAGTTGATTTTGATGGAAATATCGTATTTTACTGGCTAATTCAGAATCTGTATAAAAATGGAATGATGCTAAGAAGGCCTATAATGTTGTAAGATATAAATTTGGTGAAACATCTAAACCAATTACAAATAGAGATGACTTACTTGATAAGTTTTTCATGTAAAAATCTTGGTCAGAGATAAATTTTCTGACTGCAGGTAAAAAAGATGTGCTTATGTAAATATTTACCATGGAGTATTTACTCATTTAAATAAGAAAAATTAGAATTGACAAAATTCTCTACTTAGCAGAATTTCTTTGAGCTTATTGGTTATCCTAGTTCTTCAGAGAGATTATTTTCTTACTGAAAAGTATTGTGATTACAGGAAAGACTGTATTGAAGATATCAACACTACCAAATTTATTAACCCTCTACTTGGTTTTGAAGAAGATTGCAGAGAATTTGATAAAAAAATTAAATAATAAGACAATTAAAAATATTTTCTTTAGAAAAATGCCAGTGATGTGTTGGGACAAATACAACTAAGAAACTGATTAAAAGTATTTGCCTACGTACCAGTAATATTTCTGTTATTTATGTAATTTTTTTAATATTCAGATAATCAAGATAAAGTAGTTTTCCCCTTTACTGTACATTTACACGTTTACTATCTAAATAGAATTTTAATTTTGAAAATATTTTACAATATATTTTATACATCTACCAGCATAATAAAACCAAGTTTTCAGCAAGCAAATAGTATTTCAAATATTTGTATTAATATAATTTTTAGAGACCTATCTTCACTCTTAAAATTGTTTCAGTTTGGAGAGTAGATGATATGGTCTCTCCAGCTAATGGGGTAAATAAAAGAGAAATGATTGTTAATAAAGTTAAATGGAAGCAGGGGTAAAATTACGAAGGACACTGAAAGTGAGGGGAAGGAGTTTTGATTCTGTGGGAAAATACACTAGCAAGGTTATTTCTGTCACACACTTAAGGTCAGGAAGTTGAGCTAAAACTGATCTACCCTCTGCCTTGAATAGTCTGTTAACACCAGAAGGTTCTGATTTGAACCTGAAAATGACAGTGGTAATCAGGACGCTCTTCCAACTTTTATTTGGTTGTAGAATCACATACTTGTAGGAAGAATAAGCTTCTCCTGAAAGCTTATTGTGTATTATCAGCTTAGTTTATCACAGTCTTGAGCTGCCAACACCTTTCCAGAGAAGATAATTTTAATCTTATACCACGGCTTTGCTGTCTGACAAAGAGCTTTCATCTACTTTGTCAAATTGTGGTATCCAGACTTGAATTCAGGTCACCATTTTCCCTCCTTTCCCTATCTGGTTTATTAGATCTAGGGTATTTGAAAACTATTTTCCTTTATTCCCTGAATAATCCTCTCATTCAGGTGTTTGTCTCTATGTCACACTCAGGTGTATGGCCTCAACATAAATGTGGTGTTCATTCTTATCCAGCAATCTCTCAGCTAGTCCTTTTGCTTATTTATTTTTTTTCCTACATGGTTGATCCATAAGAAATTACCAATAATTGAGCTACAAAAACAACAACTTCAAAAGTTTCAACCCACTGCATCTCCTCCTGTTTCTTATCTTCCTTGTCACAGATACTGAGATCACTTACCTCTTTTACTTCTTCTCCAGTTAGTTCCATGGCATCCTTTCCCTCATTCAAGTCATTTTTATGATTTTAACATCCTGTGGTTTTCATATTATATTAGATTTCATATTATATTAGATTATTAATAAGTAACATTATAGAGTACTTTCTACATGCCAGATATTGTCTATGGGCTTTGCAAACATCAACTCATTTACTCCTTCAAAAACCCCTAGTGAAGTAGCATCTATGAAGTAGATGCTATTATTATCCTCATTTTACAAATGAGAAAACAGTTACTGAGGAGTTAAGCAATTTTACCATCATCAGACATAATAAATATTCAAGTTGGAATCTGAACCCAGGCACTCCTTACTACTATACCTTACTGCTTCTTATAATTAATAAAAGGAGAGAGGGGGGTTGGGAATTAACACAAAATAGGACAAAATAGGGCAGTAATTCCAGTGAAGCAGCTAAAAATAAGTTATTTGGTTTAAACAGGGATGTATCATATTTAGGCCATTTCTGGCAAACATAATAATTATAAAAGAATTTTTAAATGGTGGAGAACTTTGGGGACTCAGCCTGTGAAGAATACGATGGAGGTTCTGAAAGCATAATATTGGAAAGAGGCCTGGACCAGAGA